CAAAGAGAGAGAGAGAGAGAGAGAGAGAGAGAGAGAGAGAGAGAGAGAACAGTCAATAAGTTGTATTCTATAAATTGTCCATAATAACATGCTAAAATGCTTTAGTTATCCTCATGTCTGTTGCAGATCTGAGCTCACATTTTAAAGTTTGTTGGGTCATTCTTTTTTAAGGCTCTACACTCATATTTATTTATTTATTTATTTCTGTTTTTGTTTCTGTTTCTTTCTGCAGTCCAGAAACGTGTAGACGGGCCGAATGACCTGGACTTATGGAGGAAAAGTTTCGGTATGAACTATACACCGACTACAACTTTGGTATACATTTTGACAAAAGGGGCTCAGTTTCTTTGCTCCAAAGGACAGCACAGAGACATGATAATGAAAATGATAAATAATAATAATTACTATTAAAATGATTGTTTTAATCCATATCGTTGTCATTTTCAGTGTAATCATATTTATTGTCATTGATGTTATTGTGAGGTCGTTGCTTTTGTTATCTATTTCACTCTTTATTGTGGTGAGTTAAAGGAAGGCGCGGGTCTTCAAAGTACGATGTTTGGGTCAAAATATCGATTTTAAACTTTTTATATTTTTGAGTACCTGAATATGTTAGGAACCGATACCCCCTGACCTCAATTAGAAACTCTTTAAAAAAATCGTTTTAGGGTAATTTCCTTTAGGGTAAATCCCCAAAATAAGGCCCTTTTTTCATAAAATGACCCCCAAATGAGTCCATAATTAGACGGTGATGACAACAACGTGTCTCCCCCTAAACACTAACATGTTTTAGTATCGTTGTAACCGCAAGCTTCTCCTCTTCCAAACCGTAAAACAATCTCGACTGATGTGTTTCTAACAGTTTAGTTATGAAGCAGGACACAGGACGCTCCATTTTGTAAATCTTAGTTTGTTTTGAACAAAATGAATCCTCGGTACTAAAAATAGTGACCATGACGTCAATTTTCAGTCAGAGATTGCTGTGCGGTATGAAATCTTCAACAGTTTTTTTTATGATCATCGCTACTATTTTCTTTTGCTTGGACTGTTTTCACCAACGGAACCACAAAATTTGCTTTAGTGGTTGACGAAACTTTATCGTGTCTCTCACTAATTTTTATTTTAGTGCAGTCTTGTCTTTTTTGTATGTTCATTCAGTTCCCTCCAAGAAGTTGTGTTCAATTTAGCATACATTTCAGTTTATTTTGTTTGCCCTGGTTGTCCCGTGCATTTACCTTGATGTGTGTATGGTGAAGGGTTTTTTTGTTTTTGTTTGTTTGTTGGTCGCTTTTGTGTGTGTGTGTGTGTGGGGGGGGGGTGGTGGTAATGCAAGTGTTTTTTCACGTCTATGACACAATTTACATCATTTAGGAAGCTGGCTTTCGACCCTGCCAGTCACTGTCAAAGCTAACTCGGTCTAAGAGGGATACCACATCCGAGCAGAAAGACCCAGCTACTCAAAAGAAAGTCTCAATGCTCAGGAACCGAACTCAAGTCTCCCGAGTGGGACAGTGAAGCGCCTGATCGCTACACCACAAATATTGATTGTTTGTTTTTTGTTAGGGGGATTGGGATTTTTAAAAAGTGAGAAAACGAACACGCAGAGAGAGAGAGAGAGAGAGAGAGAGAGAGAGAGAGAGAGAGAGAGAGAGAGAGAGAGAGGGAGAGAGGGAGAGAGAGGGAGAGAGGGAGAGAGAGGGAGGGGGAGGTGATGGGAGGTGCAGAGATGATGTTGCATGTAAGAGTGTTCGGTGTCACATATCTCGTGAGGGCACACTTCACGTTTCGTCAAAAGCTTGGTCAATATAATATAGCTTTCCTCATCTTACAAGCTAACAATGAAAGGGGCACTGTTATGAACGTTTTGTTAAGTTATATACTTGCTGCCGTAAAGAAAATTATTGTCCTGGCGAGGCCACAGTATTACATTGGTCATTGTTATTTTCGTTAATAAATATGATAGCATTAAAAAATTCACCTCAATGAAAATTGCAAAGCTTATTTATAAGCAAAGTAAACCTTTCGAAAGGAACAACAGGAATTAGTACAAGTGTATGATTAACTGCAGCTTTGTAAACTTATGAATTCCTTTACAGCGAACCTCGTATCCACCGATAGCGGACTCCCAGTGAAAAAAAGTTCAACGGATTATTTCTTATTCATGTCAGCAAACCACAGGCCTCGGTAAAAACAATATCGCCGGGACTGATGTGATATCACTGTAAAGACAGAATCCTGTTACAGACAGGAATGAAGTTTTCGTACCCTGTAACTAATGATTAACGAATCGGACCATTCTTCCTTTAAAAAAAAGATTACCCGCTATCTATTTATCAAGTGTATCACTTTTCTTTACGAGTGATATCCCCCGCCCCTACCTTTTTGTTCCTTTTTCTAGCTTCTCAGTTTCATAGAGATTGGGTAAATGACATAGATATGCGGTAGTTCTAACGTTCGGAGCCTGCTTTTGATTCAATCTTTTTTTTTCTTCTAAAACAAGTCTCTTCACCGCATCAGGAGATAAGATGGCAATGTGGTACCAGACTTTGGCAATGCGAAGTCACTGACTGAATTTTCATAAACACCAAAGCGAACCCAGCTTTCTCCCCCCCACACACACACATACACTGTACATGCACACGATATGAAACATCATGAATTGTGTCACAATCCACTTAGCCTACCGTAGGTCACGTAAGTCCACTTCACCGTAAATGTTATCTGTTGCCTTGATTCATTTGCTTTTACCTGCCCTCTTGTCGATTTGTTTTAGTTGGGCTTTTGTCAATGATTGGAACACTGTTAGCCTAACATGTCTATCCGAATGCTTGCTATAAATAACTTTTTATTATAGATTATAAAAGGTCGGATTTATGGATTTCCTGCCATGGCCGGAATCCTGTTATAACCTTTGACTGATATAAATGGGGTACACTTTACCTTGTCTTTATCAAAGAAGAATACGAGGGACTCGGGTCCAACGTAACAGTGTGCCCTATCAGCTAGCCCAAGCGATGATTCTTAGCACAGTTTTCTAACAAGAACGAACCCAAGCAAATCTTACCTAAGCCACTGGCGATCGGTCGACGGGGTGGGGTGGGAGGGGGGCATTGTAAATGCGTGTTGTACTCGTAGATCATTCTCTGCTCTGGCTTATGTCACCTATCAGACACACTGCTTCATTTTGGGTACCCAATCAGCGACCCCTTTACAGAAACCAATACACCTATGCCAGCTTCTGCTCCAGGTGAATAAATATAAATACACACATTCATACACACACACACACACACACACATATATATATAT